GCTTGCTGGCTGGAGACCAGAGGGGAGCTGGGCAGGTTATGACGCAAGAGGGTAGCCATGCCCAGGGACACCACTGCCTGCCAGCTTCCATCTGCTAGCCCAGCCTGGGCTCCTCAGATCCCTGCACAAGTGGAGGGAAGGAGGACAGGGAGAGAGCCAGCTTACGTCCCCTAGTGAGGCACCACTGCCTGTCCCCAGCACTCGCTGGTCTCCAAGGGGAAAGAGGAGACGTCCGCTACCCCTCCTCTCCCTCACTCCCCACTCCTTGCTCCTGCTTTCCCAGACAAGGGCAAGAGAGGAGGAAAACCCACCTTAGGAAGAGAGGAGCAGAAGCAGAAGGAAGGTCGCTTCCCTAACCTCGTCCCTTCAGTCTCGCCTTGGAGCCCCCGTCTCTCTCTGCTCTCCCCATTCCCTCTCCACATGTTGGAGCCCAGCAGAGACCCTGAGAGTCTCACCTAGTGTCCTGAATCCTGGGGAGATCCTCATCTGCTACCAAGACCACTTGGGTGGGGATATGTTCCTGTCTTCTGAGTTCCCGGAAGCTGCCTTGCAAATCAACTTGAAAATGTTGTTCTGGGAAGGTGGAGGCTGCTGTGAATAGTGTTGAAATAGCTTCAATATAACTGCTAGTGGTAATGAAGATGACTGGGTAAATGGCATGAAAGCTTCCTTCAGGGCTTCAGCCTAGGAGCACAGGCTGAAACGCAGCCCTTTGCAGCTTTGAGGCCAGAAGAGTAAAGTTGAGGCTTGGCCCCTTTGGCAAGTCCCCTCCTTGAAGAAACTCGCCAGTTCACAGAATGAGAGAGATGGCAGTGGCCAGGCCAGGATGTGGGGGCAAAGGTGGTCCATTTCTTTACTATGATATTTATATGCAGGGAGCCAAGGCCAGGACAGAAGAAGTCACAGAGGTTTAAGGCATCATCACTGCCTTCCCTCATGCTTGTGTTCCCTGCCTTTTGCATCCTTCAGCATCCCCTGAGTATCTCAGGTATTGAGGTGGGAGGGTGGATAGAAAATTGTTCTCTGACCCTGGAGGACCTAGTCTTCTTTTCTTTGCAGTTTCTCTTGCTCTCTAACCAGACTGCAGACTCCTCTAGGGCAGGGATTACATCCTGTTCAGTGTTACAGCTGCAGGGACCAGCACATAGTAGATGCTCAATTTGTGTTTCAGAATTTATCTGTTCAGTGATGATAAAAGTTGTGAGTAGCTATCTTCAAAGAGCTGTTTGTTGAGATATCTGTAACATATTAGGGTTTGTTTTATGCTCTTCTCAGTTCTTCACTATTTTATCCCTTTCTCACCAGGCAGTTCTGCTTGTCTTGATTTTTGTCCTGAGAAAGAGAATGAAATTGGCAATTGAACTTCTCTGGGTCACAAATAAAGCCATCAGCAGCTCTCCCTTCCTGCTGTTCCAGCCACTGTGGACGTTTGCAATCCTCATCTTCTTCTGGGTCCTCTGGGTGGCTGTGCTCCTGAGCTTGGGGACTGCAGGTAAGGGCAGTGGGTATGGGCCCCATCACCTTGGAGTCGGGAACAGAAACCCTCACCATTTTGGAACCATCAGTCGTTTTTGGTAGGGACCAAACCTCCTGTGGAACTAGAGGTGTCTGATGACAACAGTGATTGTGCTCAGGGCTCTGTTATGATGGAAATCAGGAAAATTCTTTTTCCTCTTTTGTGTTGGCCTTAAATATACTGGATTTGTGTTTCATGAGAGAATAAATTCAGTAAGTACTGAGAGAGCTTTAGGAAAAAATGACAATATTTTCAAAGAGCCTGTAAAAAGAATCTTATCAAATGTCTGTTTTAGATTTAAGTTTTATCCAAGGTAATTTACCAATTCCTATCAAATCAGTAGGTGATAAAGAAGAACCCTGGAAAGGCCCTAATAAACTGCTGTTGTGCTCAGCAGAGCCAGCTTACATTAAAGCAAGCCCAGTCCGAAGTTCCTTTGGTGCTGAGAAGATGGTGCTGTATCCTCCGTCCTCCTGTCATATCTATACCGTGGGCTTCCACTAGACATACCTCAGAATCAGCTATGGTGCTTTATTAAAACACAGGTGCCTGGGCCCCACCCTCAGAGATTTTGATTCACTTGGTTTGAGGTAGGACTAAGTATCTCTCTATTTTCTAAGTCACATTCTAGAGCTGTGCTATTCAAAGTGCTGTCTCAAACCAGAGAAGGAGCTTAGGCCAGAGTGTATATCACTCATTGCTTCCTTCATCAAGAAAGTCTTACTGTGCAAAAAAAAATGTAAGCAGAAAGAAAAAGTGGGCTTAGTGATACAACTGATGTACATTCCAGCACAAGCACCTTATCTCACTGCAGGCTGGGAACCACGGTGTGAGAACAGGCGTCCAGTCTGTGGACCACACTTTGAGTGGCACTGCTCTAGATCGTCTCTAACTCCTCTGTTTGATTTGGTTTAGGCCCAGATTCACATTCTAATGTGAGTACAAAAGAACAAGGTGCTTTCTGAGACTGTCACCAGGCTGTTAAGAACCACAGCAGATGTCAAATCAGCAAGGCTAATGTGATTCCTCAGTGATTTATCAAGTTTAGCTCCAGTCATATATGTTAGAACAAGTGCTATGTAGTAGATTCTTAGTGAACTGGGTTCTCTTTCCTCTCCTCTGGAGTAAATGACCCCTCAGAGATACTCCAAGATGGTCAGCAGGCTCCTTGCAAGACACAGCCCTTCGAAACCCATCTTTCCAGCTTTAGAGAAATGCTATAAGGGCAATCTCTTCTGTTGGGGGTCTCTGGAAGCTTGCTGAAGGCCTGCCGTGAACTTCCAATAATTAGTATCCGGAAAGGAACCCTGGTCAAACAGGTACAGGACTGTAATCAATCAGGATGAGGTTTGTCTGGGAGTGATAGAAAGCTTAAAACAGTGGTTTAAACAAAACATAAGGTAATTTATCTCTCACATAAATGAAATCCACAAGGAGACCCCATGCCAGCACTGTTCTCCAGAGGTCAAGGGCCCAGGTACCTTCTTCTCTCTTGTTCCACAGCCTCTACCACTTTCTTCTACCACGTAGCTGAAATGGACACTCGGGCTCCAACAAGCAGGTCTTATCCAGCCTTTGGGAGGATGAGCATATTCCTCCCTCCCTTACTCCCACCCAGCAGTCATGACAGCACGTCCACTTCCACCCCATTGGCCAAACCCTAGTTACAAGGTATTATAAGCATCACAATCCCATTTCAGTGGGTGTGTTGTTATGCTCAAGGTACAGGCAAGAAAATTGAGGTTCTGAGTGTCGTTTGCTGAGGGTCCTCCAGCTAGGAAGTGCGATGGCTCTCACTCCAGAGCTCGAGAATAGAGCCTGTCATCTTTCCCCCATTGCACATTTTCCTGTGTCTGGGATCCAAAGCTAGGAATCAACATTAGGCCTCCTTAGGTTTGTCTGATCAAGACGAAGCAGTACTGTGACCACAGAAGCTGGCTGATGGACAAGGCCATGCTCGAGGGCTGTTTGGGGCTACAGGGCCAGAGGTTGAAGCCAGAGTGGCTGGGAGTGAGGTGTGGCAGCAGATGGCAGGGCATGGCGCCCACCCACTGTCCCTACGGGATGAGGGAAGTTGTCTCTGTGGCTAAACCTCCATGCTTTGGAGCAGGACACATTTCTTCATTCATTCTTTAATTCACAAATCTTAGGAGAGCCCTGTGGGGATGAGGCCCTGAGCAAGGCACCAGGGAACAGTGGTGATCCCTCTCCACAGCACAGAGTCGAGCGGAGCAGACCGACACAAGGTTGATGAACATCAGGATAGGAGAAATTTGGGGAGCCTTGAGAGCACCGGAACAAGTTGGAGAAGGCTTCTCAGAGGATGGGCTGGAAATTGCCAGATCGGAAAATACAGAGAGAGGCAAAAGGGGATTCAGGAGGGTCAGGACCAAACACAGAGGACAAAGAGAGAGCCAGTCCTGAGAGTTGAGGGTGCAGTCAGAGAGGAACAGGCCTCAAGACTGACTTGGGGGGAGTTGCCCCTCCAGCTCCCCATCTTAGGTCCAAGTTGGATGCAGGGCTTAAGGTGCATTAACTAGCCTCCCCTCAGGACTGAGGGCAAGGGGGGCAGGGAGACGGTAGGCTGCTACGTGGGGCCGAAGGTGGCACATCTTTCTAGAGCCACTTCGGGGGTCATGTATTAAAATATGGCAGTTCTCTGTCAGTGGAAGGAGCAAAATGAGCAAGAGTGAGAGGAATAGAGGGGCCGAAAAGAAAAGTGGCTGCCAGGACTAACGTGAGCACGCTGATTTTACACTTTACAGAAGAGATCTTATACTTCATACAGTGAACCACCTTTCTGCCTCCCTGGGGTTGGGGATTATAAAAACCAGAGTGGCGTCTGCTCAAGGCTACCTGAGTCTCCTTTCCACTCACCTGGGGACTGACCCTGGTGCACAGAACTCCCTTTGTCTTCAAAGGCCTTTTTCCCCCGTGCCAGAGCAACGGCTTGGGCCTGAGCAGGTCAGCAGCTGCATCCTTTTGTTTCATGTGATTTTATCTCAGGAGATGCCCCAGCTATGCTTAGAGAGCCTGTGAGGCACTCTCAAGGCTCAGGGAAAAGATGCAGGTGATCTGGGTGGTGAGAAACATGGGCACAGCACCTTATTGTCTCATTTCGTGTCCCCCCCAGGCAGTTACAGTGAAGACAGGTTCCCTCTTTAGCCTATGCCCAAGGTCCTATGGGAGTGTCATCAGTGGGTAAATAGCTGTGCTTTTTTTATTGTGTCGAATGGCTGAATGAATTAGTATTTTAATGTGTAAAAAGAAAAAAAAATACAGAAAAAGTGAATTTAGGTTGATGACTTTTGTCCAGATGAGCTATTTCTCCAAAGACTGACTGTAAATCAGTCTTTGAATTAGTTGACAAATTCTGGCTTGTCTGCGGAGTTTTTAAGTAAAGCATATTAAGGCCCCCAGCAATGACATTTATTAGTCCTTGTCTGCTACCAGCAACGTGACAGTAACTACTAAAATCCAGTGGGAACATGTGAAAACCATAATAACCTTGAGAACCCAGCAGGTGCAATTGGCAGGTTGGACAGAGCCCATGTGATCTGACTGTCCCCAGTTGTCACTAAGGTGGTCTGGAAGCCCCAGAGTCTGAACAATGGAAAAGGCCCACTTGGGGAGGGAGGTGGGGGTGATTTCCTCCCAGTCTGTGCGGCAGTTAGAAGAAGTAACACAGGGATGTACTCGGCACGCTTCAGACAGGCAAAGGGTTGTGTTTGGAAAGGGCGCAGCAGGGCCGGACAGAGGGTTTCCCGTGAAAGATCCAGTCTGTCTCTGGCCTTCCTTGTATGTTAATCCTCTATGGTTCCCTTTTCTCATTTTTGCAATGGAAAAGTGATGCTTTCCCCAGGCTGAGATGGGACCGGAGCTTTGCTTTGCAAATAAGGGCCATATATGTTCTTTGTACTAGGAATTAATATCGACTAAGGAATATCTAGTATCAGCTTCAGCTTTGTGGTTTATTCTCTGCTCTGCCTGGCTTATTAGAGAACACAGTTTAAAAGAAAATTGTCTGTTTAAAAAAAATTTTTTTTTAGTTACTAGAGATCTAGAAGATAATGGAATTTATTTCACAAAGCCTGCTAGTGGGCCGGACCTGTCCTAGGATAGGCAGAGGGAGCTTGCACAAGAGAGATTTGAAACAGCTTCTGCTTTTCAGAAGTTGGTGTTCCCTTTGGGAAGGCACAAAGGAAAGCACTCTCCATGATCGTCTCGGTGTCTTTGCACTTGTTGTGATCTTCATCTAGAATCCTCTCCTCTTCCAACTCTCACTCCAACTTTCTACCCCAAACTACTTGAAAAACTAGTCATTCTTCAAGAAGTGTTTTGAGTGTTCTTAGAAAACCTCCTATAAATTCCCCAGGCATACTTAGATATTTTGTCTTCATTTTCTTTGCATTTTTATATTCTTTATTCTTTCAATAAATAACATTTGCATGACTACTATGTGCACTGGGTACTAGAGATACAGCAATGAGCAAGAAAAAGGCACTAGAGAGTGGGGAAAGAGGGAATAAATGAGTAAATATATTATATATCGGGTGATAAGTCCTATGAAGTACAGTAATGCAAGATATGACGTGTGTGTTATCCCCACTAGAATATGAACATCTTGAAAGCAGGCACTGTATGTTTTTCTTTCTGTGTCTCTTAACTCAATGTGTTGCCCCTGCATGGGTTCAGTAAGTGTAGCCGAATCAGGAAGTGAGGTCACATCAGTGCTGTATTAAATAATATGTTACACATGGAAAGAACTTGGAAAATCACAGGCTCTATGTCAACGAAATTTTCTTCTCTTTTTCCCTAACCCTCATGCTGTCAGAGTAGAAGCTGAGCCTGTGGGAGACACAGGCAGGATGGGTGTCAGCACGCTGGGGGTCCAGCAAGACCCTTGAGCCAATTCGCTGTAAGAAGCCAAGTACACAGAATGTGCCAGAAAGTTGAGCCCTTCCAAATTGGGCCTGCCTCCTATGGGAAGTTATCACAACCAGCTAGACTGCCTTTCTTGAGAAACTGCCATTTACACTGATCATAAGAATCACCTTAGTCTTTTGAGATGCTTTAAAGTTTGCATATGATACCCAAGTTTATAGCTAGCTGCAGGAGGAATTTCCTCCAGGTTATATTGAAGATCTCTAGAAAGATCTCCAGAAACTCATCTCAAATCTCTATAATAGGATCTATTACTTGAAGAAGGTTGGTTCATGCGTTCATTCATTTATTTAACAAATATTTATTGAACATTTACTATATCAGACCCTGTTACAGATACTGGAGACAGAGCTTTCCTTCCAATTTGAAAGCTAAAGAGAGATTAAATAAAATAAGTGAATTTTATAGTACATTAAACGTTGACAAGTGGTATGGAGAGAAATAAAGCAGAGAAAAGAAATGGGAAATACTTAGGAGGGGTATAATTTTAAATTTGATGATTGAAGAGGGCTTCATTGAAAAGGTGATATGTCAGCAAAGATTTGAAGGGGGTGAGGGCAGAGCCATGAAGCTCTGGGACAATGTTCTTGGTAAAGGTGACAGCAAGAGGCCAGGATGCTGGGGACACAGCAAGGGGACCCGTGCAGCCAGAGTGGAGTACAGTAAAACCTTGGATTGTGAGTGACTGGGTTTGCGAGTGTTCCGCAAGACAAGCAAACATTTCTAATACATTTTAACGTGGTAAATGAGCGATGTCTTGCAATACGAGTAGTTTGTTTCTGGAACAAATTATGCTCGCAAACCAAGGTATTACTGTACTTGAGGAGAGCATGGGTCAGGTCCTGAGGCCTTTAAAGGAACGTTGGTTCTAATCTTTGGGAAGTCATTACAGAGCTTTAAGCAGAATAGTGACGTAATCTGAGTTACATATGAATAACAGTGATCCAGGGAGGAGATGATGGTGGCTTAGAACAGGGTCATAATGGTGGACGTGGTGTGACGTATTGGGTTCATCATCTACGAGGTTTCATGATATATTAGTTGAGGCATATGAAAAAAAGAGGAGTTGGGGACAACACTGAGGTTTTCTGAGCAACTGGAGCATGTGATTGCCATCAGCTGAGATGGGGTAAGGCTTTGCGTGGAGCATGTTAGGGAAGATCATACTGTTTTTGGTTGTGTTGATTGAGATGTCTTTTAGGCAACCAGGAGATGACAGTTACCACTGAGTCTGAAGTTTCTGGAGAGGTCCCAGCTGGAGATCCACATTTGGGAATTTGGGATCATATAAATAATACTCAAACTATGAGATTAGAAAGAGGGTAAAGAGAGAACATAGGAAATCCAAGGACTATGCATTGGTCACTTCAATGTTAAAAGGTCCTAGAGATGAGGAAGAACAAGGAAAGGAGACCGAATGGGAGCAACCAGTGGGCAGGAGAGAGAGAGTGTGCTGTCCTGGAACTGGGTGAAGGATTGCAAGGAGATGTGAACGGTCCAATGTGGCACATGCTGCTGATGAGTAAGGAAGGACTAAGGACTGACGGTTGAATTTAGCAACATGGAGGTGAAACAAAACAGTTTCAGAGAAGTGTGTGGGAGTGGATTGTAATTGGAGTGGGTTTAAGAGAAAGTGGGAGAGAAGAATTGGAAAAAGTAAGTGGAAACAATCTTGAGGAATCTGTTAAGAGGAGCAAAGAAGTGGCAAAGAAGCTGAAGGAGAAAAGGGAGTCAAGAGTAGATTTTTTTTTAAAGATGTGACATAATTAAAGATGATTCCATAGAGAGGAGCATTCTGATGAAGCAAGAATGAGGGGGAGAGTTTCTGAAGAGGTATCTTCAAGCAGATGAGAAAGAGGATCTTGGGTGGGGATTGGCCTTAGGATCATGGACAGTTTATCATATTTAGGGTGTTGGGTTATGGCCACATGCAAATGATAGTGGGTAGATGGAGGGATAGGCACTAGCAGAAGTGTTGTGATTGCTTAAACCAGAAGTAAGGTTATTGACTGAGAATGAGGATGGGGAAAAAAACAAACTCTTAGAGGTTGGAGGAGAAATTATAAACATTCCAGAAGAAGGGGAGTTGAACAGAGTAACAGCAACATGTGATTCCTGATAGTCATTCGGATGGTATCTTCTTTCTGAGTTTTGTTTGCCTTTTTAATGTTTACCCCTAATAATGTCCAGCATAATTCCAGTGTGCAGTAGATGCTTAATAAATATTTGTGAATTTCAGAACTGGAATCAGATCTATCTATATCTCAGTTATAGCTAACCCTGTATTGTACTTACTATTCTAAGCGTCTTCCCCATTTAATCCTCATAACAGCTACATGGAAGGCATTTAGAATCATGAGACTGGATGGGATCACCAAGGGAGTGAGAAGTAGGTATTAGTATCTTCAGATTACAGGTGATGAAACATAGATTTAAAAAGTCTCATAACCTGCCCGAGCTTGGTCAGCCATTAGGGGATAGTGGAAAGGTGTGAACCTCAGCCTGTGTGGCTCTCAAGCCCAACCCTGTAACCACTACCCCACAGTTCATCTTGTCTGCCTACCCTCTTCATCTTTACATTGAGAGAACTGAGGCCCAGGTTGCTTATAACATGTGTCAACGCTGAGACTGGTACCAAGTACTCTCCCAGTTCAATGCCCTTTCCAATACCATCGCCAAGACCCGCCATATCTTGGGATCTACCTGTAGTCTAGTTTCCATTATTTTAGCTACCCAGAGCAGTTAGCTATATTGTTGTCATTTATGGAGCTCTTGACTGCACCGACCCAGCCATCCAGGAGAGGGCAGTCATGTGCATGTAAACATGCCTGCCCCACCCTGAAACTTGTTCCTCGCTTTCCTCTTGAATGAAGCCAGAGAGCCTGACTGCAGAGAATGCTTGTTTAAAGTAATGATTCTCAAGCAGCAATTTTCTTCCCCAGGTGGCATTTGGCAACGTCTGGAGGCAGTGTTTGGGTTGTCATAATCGCAGGAGGGGAGGGAGGGTGCCCTTGGCATCCAGTGGGTGGAGCCCAGGGAAGCTGCTCAACATCCTGCAATGTAAACACCCTGCAATGCACCCCCAACAAAGAATTATCTGGTCTAAAACACCAATTGATATGCTGAGAGCTTGAGAAACCCTGTCCTAAAGGAAAAATCTATAAACACTCCGGTATAACTGAACCAGGAGAACAAATAGAAGATGGCTTCAATAAAGATATTTAAAAACAAGTGACCAGTTGAGAATAACCTAAGTGTTCTACTACCTTGGGGAATGCCAAGGGTTTGAAAGCCTGCACGGAACTTGACTTATCATGTTAGCTGCTCTCCACTTGCTGACTATTACCATCCATGTGCCAAGCTGGGATGTGTGAATGTGCTGTGGGCAGCACAGGGCAACCACAAGGAGAGACACCCCACCTGCCCCACACCCCCACCCTCTGGCATCCAGGGCCTTGGTACTTACCTTTTCTCTATTAAGGAAATCATCCCTCCTGTTCTGTGGAAAAATTCTCTACCCCCAAACCATTTGTGATGCTGTAGACCCGTTTTTGCAAAACTACAGTCTGTGCCCAAGAAATGTGGACCTTGCAGGAGCAGCAGTGTGCTTGTTGGCTGCCCTGTCACTTCTGATATTCCAGGGAGTCGTTCGCCAAGGCTTCATTGACCTGATCCACCTAACCATGCCTGTCAGGTCACCTCCTTTGGAACTATGGATGCTTTCCCGAAACACTTTTGGAAACCTTAAACATTTATCAGTGCCTTACCTGAAACAGAGATTGCCTCCAAGCTAGAATGAGCCCAGTGTTTGATAAAATTTAAACGTCTCTCTGTAACTCAAGCTGCTCCACTCTTTCTCAAAATGTGACTCTTGTTCAGTAGAACATAGAGCGTCAGGAACTAAGGCCAGCTTCATCTGTGAGGCCAATTTGCCTTACATCAGGATTATCTTCTCCCACTGCCTTCACACAGACTATTGTGAATGTCTAAAGACACATGAATTATGGAGCTAGCTATGAGAGGAAGTATGAACTATGGTTAAATGTTGTTCAGGTTGTAGGTTTCAACAAAGACCAAAGTGCTCACCTTCTTACCATAGTTTATTTAAAATAAGCGGAAGACATTTAGAAATCTAACGCATTGCAAAGCTGTTAAATAAAAAAGATCCCTTGTCTCTTTTATAAAGGCTAAATTTTTGGTGAAGTGGGGTTCTATAACGTGGTCCTAACAGCTTTGTGTGGTTTCATCCAGATAAGTTTTGATTGTATCAGAAAGTGATGTGGAAAACCATGGGTTTTACAGTCCAATGAGCCTGGTTATATATTCTCCTTCCAATAATCATGAGCAGTGAGACGTTACAAAAGTTACATGACTCTTCCAAACCTTAGTTTTCACAGCTACGAAGTAGAATGAATATTAGCGTATATGTCAAGTGTCTTGCAAATTGCCTATCTGTCACTGTAATTATCATTATTGATAGTATTTGATAATATTCCTAAGTCAAATATGTGTTTAGAATTTTTAGTTTTTGCTATGGAGATCTTAAATTATGGTGGGTGCTTCAAACTTTTCTTTAGCATTTGTGTATCATGTTATGCCAAAGGCCAGGCGTGAGGAAGTGTTCTTTGTTGAACCATCTTCCATGCTTAGGAAAACATTGGTGTAAAGCGTGTTTTGTGTTTTAAACTTTAGGAGCTGCCCAGGTTATTGAAGGCGGCCAAGTGGAATATAAACCTCTTTCCGGCATTTGGTACATGTGGTGGTACCATTTAGTTGGCCTCATCTGGACTAGCGAATTCATCCTCGCATGCCAGCAAATAACTGTAGCAGGGGCAGTAGTTACTTCTTATTTCAACAGGTAGGTCTAACATGTTATTCCTATTGGTTTGTCTGTGCATCTCTAAAGATATTTTGGAGTTTTGACATGACCCCTTAAAAGGGGTTGGCAAGTGTAAAAGACAGCTAAAAATTTGGCAGGATGCTTATTTGATGATGAAAAGCCATGTCATATCTTAAATCTGTCACATTTCCAAATCCTTTACTTTAAGCTAGATAATTCAAAAGAAAGCCAAACAGGGACATAATCATACTGCTTAGAAATGAAAGATGGAAAGGAAGGGTTGACTTCAACTGTAAATATTCATTCTTGCTGACTTCAAACTTAAAAAAAGTAGTCTTCTATTTGGAACACACTTCAGCAAGTCCTGTGAGCTTCATTCTGTCCTATATAAGATGAGGAGAATGTTTGCTTGGAAAATGACTTCAAATCCTAAGGGAGGTGTATATAACTATAAAATATAATTCATGTTCATATAGCTAAGTACTAGTGAATTAATTACTTACGTCTTTGCTCACCATGATACTTATTTCAGTGTTTATACCCCGTTACCTCACAAAATAATGGAGGACACACACACACACACACGCACACACACGCATCCGCTCAACCATTTACTCTTTTGTGTGTGTGGTTCTCCACCTGGCACACTGACGAAGCCTCACGCAAGAAGAGCATGGTCAGGACAATGACAGGGTTGGACTCGGAACAGGAAGTTTACTCCCCGTAGGGCTGATACTCCTCTAATCTCTGAGACCAAATGGACAGATAAACACCAGCGTTCCTGGGGGTAAGAAAGTCAACCAGGGGTGATTCATACCATCAAGCAGTTACCTCCTGCCTATAAAGGGCACGTGGGTTTTAATACAGTGGTGCTGTTTGGAGCCTCTGTTATTGGAGACTCCACAGGAGGGGCTGTAGTCCTTGGCATCGAGAACCCCTGAGGGGTTGGAGGTGGGTGGTGTGTGCTGCCTTCTCCTGAGTAGGGGAGCAAAGATTATTCTAGATAAAGTGGCCAGCAGGTAACAGCTGTCTGACAGCAGTGACTTGAGGTGATCTTAGAATCACAAAACCAAAGCATTTTCAATAGGGCTTTTGGTTTGGACTTCCAAGGAAGCATATGCATGTATCTCCTAACCCCTCCTTGTACTCAAACTCCTTGCCAAAAACATGAAAGAACGAAAAAGGTATAAACACACAAGGACAAGTGACAAACAGAGGTAATTACAGCAAATAAGAAATGTCAGTCAAATGCTGAAAACTGAAGAGAGGATGGGTGAGGGTGACTGATGACTCTGAGCCGACTGGAGAAAGCTAAAAAAAAAAAAAATCCTGTGTATGTTGAATGGAAAAGGAGGTGAAAATAAAATGCAGGCTGCTTTGAGTCACAAAACCCTAGAGAGGCTCAGGACTCCACATGTAGAATAAAATGAACTTCTGAAGATTAGATAAGTCTTCCTAAGGAGCAGTTAGGCCCTAGGTCCCCTCCTCCACACCACTAGGAGATGGGAGCTTTGCTTTCTACAGAGGGAAACCGGAGAAGGTCTGGACTTGGGATAACCCTCAGCCTAAGCACAGCTGAGGCTGGGGGTGAGGCTCTGTAATGAAAGAAGGGGGAATAAACAAGGGTCTAAATACCGAATAGTGACGACACCTCACTACCACCTTCACCAACCCACATTTCACAGCTCAGCTCCCAGGATGTTGGCAACCAGGTTGATATCCTCAAGGCAGTGCCATATGGGGTCCCCCAATAAAATGGCCTGATTCCCTGACTCAGAACCAGACAGTGAAACTCACTAGTCGACTGTCCTACAGAGCTTCCAGTTCACTCTTTAGTGCTTCATTCATTTTTTTTTTTTTTTTAGTTTCAGGTGTACAAAACAATGCAATCGTTATACTTTTCACTCCTTACAAAGTGACAACCTCTCTCCCCCAATCCACTGCCCCTCCACCCTCAATATCATACATATGTATTACAATTCCATTGACTCCACTCCCCACACTATACTCTGCATCTCATGACTATATATATATTAAATTATAGTTGACATACAATATTATTCAACATCAGCTTCAGGTGTACAGAGCAGTGGTCAAGCCTCTACACTGTTTATGAAGTGGTCTCTCTAACAAGACATGTGTCCATCTGACACCCTAAAAAATATTTACAACGTAATTGATTATATTCCCCAAACTGTCTTTCATATCCCTATGACACTATTGTAGTTACCAATTTGTACTTTCTAATCCCTTCCCCTTCTCTCTCATCCCCACCCCCTCCCATCTAGCAACTCTCAGTTTTTCCTCTATATCTCTGAGACTATTTCTGTTTACTTTGCTCGTTCACTCAGTTCTTTAGATTCCGCATATAA